GACTTCAAAAATATTTCCATAAAACCAGTGTCTTCTAAGAGCATGAAAGATACTACTAAAACCTCCTGGGTAAAGAGGAATCAGGAGAGGAGGCCTTCGTGCTCTGGTTGGTGGCAATGTCGTGATACTGCAGGAGAGATGCTGAAAAGGGTGGGATCCAAAATAGTCCTACTCTTCAAGTCAAAAACGAAGCATGGGAATGAGAAGGGAAAAACAGACCCTGATAGAGCTAGGGGCAGGGCTTCATTCCAGCAGCACAAGCAGAGCAGAAAGCTGCACACAGAGACTGCATGTACCGTGTCGTGTGGGAGAGGCCTAAGGCTGCACTCCTCACTGCCTCTAGATCTTGCCAAGACACTCCTCCTGAGACCCCATCTCCCATAAGCAGGAGGAGCAGTCTACTTGCGCCAGCTTATTTTACAAAATCCTGGTTTTACTAATGTACCTTCAGAGCAAAAGCAACGAGAACAGGCCCCTCGGTACCCTGTACCACGGGAAGTATAAGAGAGGAACAGGCAGCCCTCAAACTGCATTTCCTCAAAGGCTGAAGAGCCGTGCAGAGCTCCCTACAGCCCTGCCAGTGGCACGGCTGCAGCCAGCCCTCCCTCACCTGCACACTGGGGCACCCAGAGGCTGCCTGCTGCACAGGTGTCCCAGTGTGCAGCAAGCACCTCGGTCCTCTCCCTGCTGCTGCAGGGTACAGACAGCACTGGGTTCAAAGTCCCCAGCGCAGCGCGTCAGGGCGCAGAGGGCACAGCCTCCCTCACACAGATTTTGCACGCTGCTTGTGGGCAGCTCGTCACCAAGAACTGTTGTGAAGGAAGAGCTGCAGGCAGGCTCAGCAAGGACCTGCCCCTCCCTTGGGAGCTGTTTTATGCTGGGCCCTTGGCTGTGACCCCACCTGAGCCATGCTGTGGCTGCAGTGCCTGGCTGTGTATCCCTGCTGGTCTGGAACCTGACTGACCCCCCAGGTAGCTTTCTGGCTTGATCTTGGATCTGCTTTGTCCCCATGGACTTGGCTGGGCAGTCTGTTCCAATGCCTAACCACTCTCTCTGTGAAGAAATTTTTCCTAACACCTCATCTAAATCTCCCCTGGCGCAGCCTGAGCCCATTTCCTCTCATCCTATCACTTGTTACTTGGGAGAAGAGACCGACCCCCACCTCGCTACAGCCTCCTTTCAGGCAGTTGTAGAGAGCAATAAGGTCTCCCCTCAGCCTCCTCTTCTCCAGGCTAAACAACCCCAGCTCCCTCAGCCCCCAAAACTGAACACAGCACTCAAGGTGCAGCCTCACCAGTGCCGAGTACAGGGGCACTGTCACCTCCCTGGTCCTGCCGGCCACACTGTTCCTGATACAAGCTAGGATGCCATTGGCCCTCTTGGCCACCTGAGCACACTGCTGGCTCATGGTCAGGTGGCTGTCAACCAACACCCCCAGGTCCTTTCCTGCCAGGCAGCTCTCCAGCCATTCCTCCCCCAGCCTGTAGCGTTGCATGGGGTTGTTGTGACCCAAGTGCAGGACGCGGCACTGAGCCTTGTTGAATCTCATGCAGTTGGCCCCGGCCCATCGGTCCAGCCTGTCCTGGTCCCTCTGCAGGGCCTTCCTACCCTCCAGCAGATCGACACTTCCACGCAGCTTGGTGTCATCTGCAAACTTACTGAGGGTGCACTCAATCCCCTCATCCAGATCATCAGGCAGCAGCCTGTCCATCCTTTGTGGATGACAGCGAGTCAGCAGAGCTTGGCTTGAGAGCTGCTTTTTAGCCACAAGCTAAGGAGTATGAAGCTGGATGCAATACGAGCAAAGCTAGAAGCAGCTGCGCAGTTCCAGCCTCTGCCAGCTGTCATTATGGGCTGGGAGAAGGTACAGCAAGGCAATACATCTGAGGATGTCAGAGATGTCACTTCTAGCAACTTTTTGCATCTACAAAGGGAAGGGCAGTTTTGAGGTGGTTGTATTGTTTACCTGTGTCTTTGTTCATAATGGCGTTGTAATAAGCAAAAAAAGCTCTGAATTCAGCAGGTCGGTGTGACATGGCTTTGAACACATTGGGCAGAAATCCAGTCTGTCCAAGGAAAAAGAAAAACAAGTCAAGAACTGTAACTTAACACAGAGCACAGAGGGCAACATCAATGCACTAGGCTTAGAGAATTTGTTAGCACAGCACTGCTGGGGAATCTCTGCAGACACATTCACTTGTACTTTGAGCCCACTTACACATATGACTGAACATGTAACGACGTGGTTCTCAATTAGGTGTTGCTGCAGTTTCATAGCATGACTGATAGCCCTGCTCGCTTCAGCCACAGCAGTGATGACCACAGTCACATCGGCAAGCTCCTTTCCCAACTGAGAGGCTGTCTCCACTTGGTCTCCCTGCACAGACGCTGCCATGCCCATTTGACCATCCTAAACCTTCTGTAACTCTTCCCTCCAAGCTTACGGGACGCAAGACAAGGCTGACCCAATCCAAACAGCATGCCGTTTGAGGTGCTGGCACACAATGGATGTATATGCTGGCATAACAATGCTGCTCTACTTCTCTCCCCTTTCTGCCCCCGAAAATTGCCAATGCCCAGTCCATCTCTGTGATGGTGTGCAGGACTGCCTTTCCCAGAGAATCGCTTGCTGCCTCTCATGTGCCAGATCAGCCAATGCAGCATCCACCTGTGCCTCGGTCCCGGCAGCCGGCATTTATTAGCAGGGGTTCAGCCTCAGTGCCTGCCTGCCCACTGCAGTTCTAAACAGTCTGGGTTCACTGTGATTGTGCTAACTGCCCGCAGGCTCCATCAGCTTACCAACTGCTGTTCTGTGGAGTGTTTATGCAAAAGGAGAGTAGCCCAGGTGTCACAGACCCCTCTGGCAACCTCCCTCCACTGCCACACAGTTGCCTGTGCCTTCCTCCTGTCTCACACGTCTGTTTTTTGTTAGGTAACCAAGGAGAGGCTGTTCCCTCTTCGTCCACAACCCATTAGTTTACTTAGGAACCTCTGGCAACAGAGGTTGGCAGCACTGTGTGGATATCCAAGTCTGCTAGGTTGATTGGATCCTATACATAGGTCTTTGCTGACCCCTTCAGTGGGCCGACACACAGGGGTTTGCGTCACAGTATGTGAAATTTGAGCTGACTTTTCCTCCGTACATCATATTTACTCTCAAGTCCGCTGACTCCTTTCATTATTACGCAAACTTCATGGGGGCCACTGCAACGGTAGCAGAGCACAGATTTAACAGGCTGACAGGAAGGATAGGGAGGGATGGACTGGCACTCCCCTGAGAAAAAGCTCTTGGAAGAGAGAAGTCTCCACAGAGCTGTGGCTGGTGAGTGTTTTAGCCATCAGGAAGGACTGTGTGGCATTACTTCTCCGCAACAGCGGGGAAGGAAACTTGTCCAATTCCTTCTTTTTCCCCTTATACACAGTTCTCCATTAGGCTTACTGTTCTGCCACTGTGCAGCCCGTTTAGCTTTGGAGAAGAAAAAGTCAAAGCTCAAAAGCAGAAGTACCCCCTGAGCCTTTTAATACGGTCATCAAAACAGCTCCTTCCATTTTTTTCTCCATTAAAAGAATTAAAAGCACTCCTAATAGTGTCTCAAGTAAACACAGATGCTCTCCCAGGAAAACAAATACATTTCAGTGTTCCAGCTAACCCCGCGCACAAGATTGCATCTGATAATACCCACTAGTCTCACGGACCCTTTCCACTGACAGAGTTTTGCAGCACAACTCCTTTACCTTCATTTCTACTTCCTCCATGAGCTCCACGATGTCATAAGGCATGTCTTTCTTATTGGGTACCGGGTACCGCCCAACAGGTCTTGCAGCGCTCTCATCCTTGGTGCTGTATGCCACCCAGGGCCGCCTCCGGAGTCCCCCTGAGGCTAGGAGAGACAGAAGCTGGGGAGAAAGGAGGGAGAAAAGTTTGTTATTTGGAAAGACGCATATCATCTCAGCAGCCTGGGGAAGGAGGACTTTTCCTCAGCTACTCCTGCTTTTCTGACAGGACTCAGGGGCACCTCGGCCACTGTAAGCCACTCGCTGCTTCGTTAGCGGGGCAGTCGGTGCTCTGGGAGAGAAAACCCAAGTCCCATTCCTGGCTGCAGCCCTAAGCTGTTGTGTGGGCATCTGGCAAGCACCACCTGCCCTTGCACCCCCCATGCACCATCTCAGCTGCAGCTCCTTGCAGTCCTCACCAGCCATGGACCAGCCCATCCGCACCAACACTGAACCTGCAGCATCTCCCAAGCTTAAAAGGTGTTTCCCAACCATCTGCACACAGCAACATCGCACAGACACCCAGCAGCGGCCCTAACAGATCTCCTTCAACAAAGGAGCATGAAGAATAGATTCAAGGCCTTTTTTTTCTGCCAACCAGCCTTTCCACAGGCAAAGCCACCTTCCCTCCTGCAGAACAATCAGAGGCACCAGAATCAGGCCTTCTGGAGGCCTGAAGCAAAGAGTGTTCTTACGCCACAGGCACTGGAAAGGGCTTAGTACTGACAAGACTGTATCACCCTTTGTAACGCTCCAGTACTGTAAGAAGTTGTGGCCTTGCAGTGTCTAGGCTATAGGCCTTGTTAGCTCTTCAGCTGTGTTGCAAAGGGCTTTACGAAAGCAGCTGCACCTTACAGAGGGGTGGGCTGGGCCAGAGAGCAGAGTGACTCGGCGTTGGGCAGTTGGTGCAGGTATGGGAGCAGAGCCCGGGAGTGCTGGCGCCCTGCTCGGAAGATGCCTCGAGCCTCCTCCCAGCTCTCAGGCACACACCACAGCAGTTCTGAACGCTCCCAGGAACACTGCGTGATCCCATCACCCCCACCACCGCGTGGTGTCCCACACAGTTTTGGGGTGAAAACTAAACCTGTTGGATCATACATTGTCCGGGTGTTCTTGCTCGGCATACACTTGAGTTCTGGCCTGAAACACTAACACGCTACTGCGGCATAAACGAGTAACAATGATAACCGGGGCAGAGACACCTCAGCTTGCTGCTATGAGGAAGGATGACGCTGAAACAGCTGTACGTGCTGTACCAGAACGCATCCAGGTACCACCTATGAAAACGACGAGAAAAACACTAAAGCAAGTATAAACAGGAAAACCATCCCAGAAATGAAACTTCTGAGGATAAATGCAAAAATACACTGGCATGCAACAGGTAGCGTTAGGGCCACTGAAAGCAAGGATTTCCACCACATAAAGGTCCGCTGTGGACCCGGCTCAAAACCAGAGCAAACCTGTATACATCAACGCAAACATCTGGCAGGTTTTCCTCTCTGTCGCTGGAAGAAAAAGCGTTAGGACCGGAGGACGCAGGAGCAGCAGCCTCACGGCGGGACGGCGCACACGATTCACCCTCCGTTTGCGATGGCGCCTGACGCCCCGAGGGAAAAGGAGAAACCGCCAAGGGGTGGG